TATGTGGGAGGGAGAGACTGATGTCACAGACTAAGTTGGACGAATCCATTAATTTCTTGAAAAATGCACTTCTCCTTCTCCTTCTCCTTCCTTCAGTATATTTCTCCTTTCCTGTAATATATTCCTCCCTTCCTGCAATATAGCATTCACCTGTTATCAATGGTCTCCCCTATCACACGTCAAAAATTAAGAATGGATTCAACTAAATAAACACAGTCTTACAGCGTGCTACCAGAGAGTTCAGAAGGAGTTGTAACTAGATTTTTGTTTGGTTTCTGCTCATCACTGCGGGAGCACGTTGCCTGAATTTGAAATAATTTTTTAAATAAGTCATGATCTCCCACAGAACCCCTAGTGACCTCTCATGGAACCCTAGAGTTCCATGGAACCCTGGTTGAGAAACTCTGCTCTAGCTTAACTAGGAGGAAGTTGATAGTATCTCTGGAAAGCTGAATGAGAAGTTGGAACATAAGCAAATTTTGTGAAAGGTTTAAGGTATTCAGGGTTACTTCATTCAGGCAGAAAATGTCATGCTTTACGTCAAAAATTCATTAACAGAACTCCTAAATGAAACTCTTAAAAAATTCTAAATCTGGATTATGGAAGCAGAACTGATTGTGTCAGACAAATATATGAATTGTATCACTTCCATAGGCTTAGTAAATTGAATTTCTTTTCTTTGCTGAATACATATGATCTGCATGTATTAGCTATTCTTAATACTTCTTTCCCCCCATTGCTCCTTCTTTCCACTTTCTAGATGGAGCGCCAGCGTTTAGCCCGAGAGAAACAGATGAGAGAAGAGGCCGAACGCACGAGGGATGAGTTGGAGAGAAGACTTTTGCAGTTAAAAGAAGAGGCAACGATGGCAAATGAAGCTCTGGTAGGTCCCTTCAAATGCTGCTACGGGTACAGTCTATCTGCAAAGAACTCAAGAGTCTCTCTGGAGAAGGGATGTTTTATCAAGGATGGTTAGTGGAGGATGTATATTGCCCTTTTTAGGCTCATCACAGTAGCCACAAGTCCATTTAGATCCTAGTTTGATAGAAGCCAAACTATGTCAAGCTAGGCGTTCATGAGTCCATTGTTTTATTTAAACATGCTAGCAGAAGTATTTCAGCAATGAGGTGTAGGTCAATGAGGTGGGCTCATGCTGTGCAAATTGTATTTCTCCTATGCAGATTGTGTGATGCTGTCTGGTTTAAACAGAGGGTCAAGGTTTTTGCTTTGCTTTGTTTTTTTAACCAAGAGTAGAGGCTAAAGATGGATTTGGTCTCGTTGGTCGTTTGTGGTTGTGTCCTAGAAGACAGGTCTACCAAAGGCTACTAGGCTTGGTGACTGGATGCTACCTCCAGGCACAGGGGGAAGTCCACCTCTCCATATGAAGTGCATGGGAACAATGATGAGAAAGAAGGGTTGCCTTGATCTCCTGTTTGTGGGCTTCCTAGATGCATTTGGTGGGCCACTGAGTGAGATGGAATGCTAAGTGGGCCCGTGTCTGATCCAGCAGGACATGCTAGGCCTTCCTGTTCTGTGGCTCTAATTGAAGAGGTCCCAACCAAGAACCAGCTGTCATGTCTTGAGTGTCTTGGGTCATGTATTTATCTGGATTAGTTTGCTTCCCTGACTTTTTAGACTAGAGTCAGTCTAGACTAGTTCCCATGGACAAAATATCCCTCACTATCCAAATAGCAGAAACTATCAGTAGATACTTTTTACTAAAAATCCAAAAATCAGTGGAAGCTGTCATCTGCACTAGTGGATGAATAAAGTAACTTGGCTGGTCTTGACATCTTGGTTGTTTCAGATATAACCCTCACATCTGCGTGTTTACATTTTCCATCTGTTGCATCCAGTATTGTATAGCTTTTTATTATTAGCGTATTCATTCATTCATGTGATGCTTAGTTTCCTATTTCTCAAGGTATTTTGTTTGGAAAAGGACCTAGTATATTGACACTTGACTGGTTTAACAGCCAGTGCATTTATTCTAGTTTTATCATTTCTCACTCTTAGAGTCTGTCTAATATACTATCAGTCCCTTAGCTACATTCTCAAGTTTTAGGATTCATTCCAGCTCCACGGTTTTGGAATTCATCCAAAGTTCTATTACCGTGTCAGACTTCATGTGTCTAATCCTCCATCCTTCTTGCCCAGATGAGATCTGAAGAAACTGCAGACTTGCTGGCTGAAAAAGCTCAGATCACAGAAGAGGAAGCCAAGCTCCTGGCTCAGAAGGCAGCAGAGGCAGAGCAGGAAATGCAACGGATCAAGGCTACAGCAATTCGGACCGAGGAAGAGAAGCGGTTGATGGAGCAAAAAGTGTTGGAGGCTGAGATGCTGGCCCTGAAAATGGCGGAGGAGTCTGAACGAAGGTGGTACCATGGGAAGAACTGGATCCACTTACTGGCTTCAGCTTCTCTGATATGCCCATGTGGCTTCTTATTTAGGAATACTCACTTTGGTCTGGTTCACTCCAGGGATGGCCAGCAATCACTGACTACATTTCCTGCATCCCTGCCAAACAAGGGCCAGGAATTAGAGCCCCCTCCATGCAAAAGATTACCTGCTTCTGTTTCCTTAGAGAATACTATATAAATAAATAAAAGCACAAACTGACACTGGGGTGTGGGGTCTTCCTTTTAAATTACCAATCATCACTCATTTGGGTTTGCTTCTGGCATCAGTTGAGCATACATCCCTTTTAAAGTAAGTAGCAGAAGAACTTGGAAGTCCTCATCTAATGAAAGCAGGGAGGTGATGTAAGAGTAAACATGTTTTTGGTTTTTTCATTTAAAAAGAAAAGGAATATAAAATTGGGTACTTTTCACTTTCCCTTAAAATGAACTAAGCCAGGCTCAGTCAGTCTGGTGCCCTATAGATGTCTGGAACTGGAACTCCCAGTCTGGAGATGGTAGAGATTAATGGAATGCTTTGAACACACTAAGGTGCTACACAGAGCTACAACCCACCGTTATAGCTCTAGACAGTTGGCAAAAAAGAAGAAAGAGATAAGCTTTCTAAATTGCTAATACACAGGGAAACACAACGCACGTGTTTATACTTGGTGGAATGCTCAGATACCAAGCTGTGCCAACCAGATGAGCCTTTATGACTTGGGTACTAATTGATTTCTTTGGCTGTCAAGAAATTCATATTCAAGTCTCCCAAATACTCCAGTCAAAGAAGACGACAGCGTTGGCGGAACTGAGGGTTGCCAAAACAAGGGAGCAATGGAGGTCCCCAAGAGAGGGTCAGGCAGCCCATTGTATAGGGTGGGCACGAGAAGGAAGTGCAAAAGGGGCCTGAATACTGATTCAGAAAAATAGGGCAACAGTAAAACAGTCATTTGAATTCTTTCATTATGGCTTCCTAACTTTCCTTCAGTAAAAACCACTGATTAAAAGTTCTTAGTTGGTTCCAATGCTGCCTGCCAGTTGAAGCCTGCCAACCTTTAATTATGGAGAGGGTGGAGTTGCATCCAGACATGAAACTGAATTCATTATTCTTCACCTTGTGCGTCACTCCAGATCTCCCTACCCACTAATCGCAATAGTTCTGTTTTCTGTTGCCTATTGTGATCCTCCAGGAGCAGGAAGGCTGTTGTGAAATATTTTTTTCCATGGATTGCATTCATTTGGGCACAGATTTGGACCTTTTGTGTCTGTAAATTCCTTCTAATCTGTCATTTCTGCCCCTTGCTGATTGGCTGCCTCTGTGCCAGATGTGGCTAGCTGGAATGGCTGGCTAGCTGACTTTTCCTCTCTGTCCTTCCCAACTCTACTGTTTTCTGCATGGGAAGTTGGGAAGGCTCTCTCAGATGGGAGTTGTTTAAAATTCTTTTGCACATGCGTGCTGCCTGCAAAAACGGAAACAAATAGCATGATAATAAATGTCATTAAATGTCTAAGCCAAGGCCAGGCTAACGTTTTGCTACTTTAAAATAAAATAAGACAAACAAGCAAATAAAAAAACGCTTTGCCGGCCTCAGGAGGCGTGGCAGCAGTGAAATGTCACTGGCAGGGAAGAAGCTGAGAAGTTGACTCATTTTTGCAGTGGGTTTACACGCTTATTTTAGGCTTGGTTTGGTTTTCAGAAAGTGAAAAATTACTCTGTAGTCTGTCCTCGGAGAGCTCTGGAGGCTGTCAGTGGAGGTCTGGGAGAAGTTACGCACCCTGTTTTAGAATAGAGAGGGTTCTGCTCCCCAAAGGCAACTGTTTGGGGGGATTTGATTTGGTGGTTCTCTGCAGTCTCTTTTCGAAGAGTTATCTAAGTTATTTTAGAGGATCAACTGCCACAGATAACAACCCAGGTCCCGTCTCCTTCCCTTCACTGGTTTTGCTTTATGATATTGATAGGACATGACATCGCTTAGCCTTCAGAGAGATGAGGCATTGCCACATGCTGTCATTTTGGGGAGGAAAAGTGCTGGTCTGGGTCTGACTTTTGATTCTTCTTTTGTCAACTGCCTGCAGGGCAAAGGAGGCTGACCAGCTCAAGCAAGATCTGCAAGAAGCTCGTGACTCTGAAAGGAGAGCAAAGCAGAAACTTTTGGAAATTACCAGCAAGTCATCCTACACAGTAAGAAGATTTTGAATGACTGCAGCCTTTTTCCTACCAAGGGCTCCAAACCATGCATTCCTATAGATATGCCTGGGTATCCTCCAGATGTGGAGTCCTTGGTGCTCTCTGAGCTTGGTTGTTTGCTTGCAGACATTTTACTACCTGACTAGGTAACACCATCAGTGGTAGACTACCACTGATGATGTTACTGATGACTAGCAGTGATGATATTACCTAGTGGGGTAATGAAATGTCTGCAAGCAAGCCAGCAAGCTCAGAGAGCACCAAGGACTCCACAGTTGCACCCTGAGCTACATATATTCTCTTCTATCGTATCTTCCAGATGTTTGCTTCAACTCCCAGAATCCCCAAATTAGCATGGCCACTGCAGGGAATTTGGGGAATTGAAATCCTCAGTCTGGAGAGAGTGAGAATTGTAGTACAGCAATATTGGAAGGGCCACAGATTCCCCAGTCCTCTCTGCTGGACTCTCAAAATCTTGAATCCTGAATGCTGCCTTTTAAGGTGATGATAATGGGGAAGAACTATGTTCATTCTGCAAACCTTATACCAGCTTGTCCTAACCTGGGTTCCTCCAGAATTATGCAGCCAACGTGTCCCAACCTATCCAGAGGGCACCAGGTCAGGGAAAATGGTATAGTTGTATAGTTTTCAATAATGTTGCTATCATTGTATAATTTTCTGTACATACATACATACATACATATTTGGGTCTAGGAGAAAGATGCCTAAAAAGGCAGAGGAGTGGGGATGAACATTAGGTAGAAAATGCTTTCCTCCTAAGGGTACAAGCAAAATCTATCAGACTGTGAAGTCTAAAAACTTCTTTAAATGAAATTCTGGATTCTTTTTTTAATAATTTTTATCGAACGTTTTAACAGCAATAATAAGAACTAATACAAACTAAAATAGAGCAGAGAAAACGAAAAGGAAAGAGAGAAATAAAAGAAAAAGCTAAAAGTGCAATAAAAAAATAGAAGAAAGTAAAAAGAGAGAAAGATATAAAGCAGTGGCTTCTGATATTCTTCACAGTAGTTATAAGCACAATTATATTTTAACCTCTTTCTCTAAAGTTACATCATGATTCTCTTCTTCCTATAATCTATCCTGACTAATCATCAAAACCATAAATCACAAGTTCATTTTTTTCATTTTTACACAAAAAGTCTGTAAGAGGTTTCCAGTCACCAATAAACACAGATGTTGTCCTTTCTCTAATCAAAGAAGTCAGTTTGTCCATCTAAACGAAATTCTTGATTCTCAGGGATGCTCCGGTTTTTTAATTTCCAGGTGCCGATAGCAAGGGCTGTAAAAATCTTCCTTTAAAAAAAGCTGAACAAGAGGTGCACTGATGTCTTTTCATGAACTTGGGGGTTCTTACAAGGTTTGCCTACTGTGAGCTGCGTGAGTGCAATCAGCATTTTCAGAATTAGTGAAAGCCAGGCATCTGTTGTTGGAAGTTTTAGCATGTGGATGACTCCTAAAATCCCTTTATCCCCTTAATAGTAGCAAACTAACAAGACCTCCAATTAAAATGGAAGGCAATGGACTTTTAAGAGGAGCGAAATGGTTTGCATCGTTAAAACTATTGTGTTTATTAGCCTGGAGAGTCCGCCGTTGTGGAACAGTTTCCTGTTGCCCTCTGCGGTTCCACTCTCCATTTGTGCTGTTTTGCTGGGGGCATGAATCATTCCGGGTCTCGGATTAAACAGCAAGAGTGCAATTGCCTTAGAGGCTGGTCCTCGCATAAAAGATGCCTCAGCTGAGAAGGAAAGGAAAGACTAGTGCAAAAAGTAAGGAGCGTAAGAATTAGGAGTGCAATAAAATTAAGAATTAAGAATAAAATTATTCTTCAGTACTGCTGGCAGGGAAAGATAGCTTTCCAGTCCAGAATAGCTGGACTGAGAACACGTAAACAGAAAGTTAAATACAGGTATGTGGAAAAGTTAGTTAAGGAAAGGTATTCCATCCATCCATCCATCCATCCATCCATCCATCCATCCATCCATCCGGCTAGCTGCCCAGAGACACTGAGAGTCAAGCAGCGTACAAGTTTAATTTGTTGTTGTTGTTGTTCAGTTTATATGGCCACCCATCTCAGATCTATGACTCTGGGTGGCTACAGTGTTAAAAGAAAATATGAAAGCATTAAAAAAAACAGAAAAAGGAAAAAAAAAACCCTAACACACATAGAAAGAACAGCTGGGGAAAAACAGACCCATCAGTCACAAGTTAACATGACCAATGTACTGGCTCAGCTCCACCTCCTGACCCCCCCAGGTCTGCTAAGATGGTAATGGAGCATGTGAAGATACAAAGGCAGGCAGGCTGTTGTGACACAATCAAGTTTTGGGACAAGTACCTGAGATCAAGAGGTGGGTTTCTTTGGCTCATCGTTCTGCAACTACACTTCCGTGCTGGAGCATCCAGAGTTTTAGAACATCGAAACCTGACTCTGATCTTCCTCTTTTGCACCTAGAAATGAAACATCTCAGCAGTGGTGAGATGTTTGCAGCTAGCTTGGCCACCGGCTTCTATTTGGGGAGCTTATTCCTTTGGCGGCAACATCTGGCCCACCTCATATGGGCTTGGAAGTTAAGCAGGGTCACATCTGCTTATTACTTAATAATTAGTTCTTAGGAGATCACTAGGGAACTCCAAAGCTGAAGATTAGACAGTTGTAATATCCATCCATCCATCCATCCATCCATCCATCCATCCATCCATCCATCCATCCATCCATCCCTATCCATCTATCTCCTGTATATCCATCAGTCTCCTGTCTATCTGTCTGTCTGTCTAAAATATCTCTCTGTCTCCTAACTATCATCTTTCTATCTCTTGGAAGGAGGCAATTGCAAATCCCTTCTGTAGTGACACCCTTAAAGTTCTCCTCTGCACCCTCCTTCAACTTCTCATTGGGGTGGAGGCGTTCATAATGGAGGCTGTTTGTGGATGGTGAGGGTTGCCGGTGTGAATATGCGGTCAGATAGCAATGAAAAAAAAGCTAACCGAATCTTCCTGATAGAAAGGCGGAACAGTTTTTCAAACAGGAATAAAGTCCACTTCAATCAGGGGCCATCAAATCTTACCCACCCTTTCTCCCCACACTCACCCTGCATTTAATCAAGAATTTGAGGAGCACCTCGGAGTCATTTACTGGGTCCTTTTGCAGGGAGAGACCTCTGTTGTGCTGTCACCAATAAGCTCTTTAAGCAGGCTCCTTTTACAGCTATTTCCAAGCCTCTCCTGCTATTACAATTTGTCTTTGATGCTGCATCACCCTGAGTGAGTGTTTAAACAAGCAGAACAAAGGTGGCTTGAATTTAATGGCTTTTCCTCCAGATTCTCTGAGGCTCTCTGCAAACATTTCTGAAGCTTTTAAGAGTACAGACCAATGAGCCTGTGCTAGCCAGGGGCCTCCTTCTGCTCAGCACTGGTTGCTCATGTGCTTTGACAGGAATCTTTGGAACAAATATTTTCAGCTTGTCTGGTTCTATCGCTAAATGCCAAATTTGAATTTGAACCCGGTTGGTGCTGGGAATCAGGCTTCCTGATTAGTTTCCTAGGATCCTTGATAGGTTATGCTGCAAACAGCTGTTCAAGGATTAAACAGTCTAGTCTGCCAGGAAGGGGAAAAGTGGAAGGAGGACTGGCAAAGGCAGAGGAAAAGGTGGGAATTTGAGAAATATAAAAAAGGCGAAAGGTTGGTTTCTAAAGCAGGAGTGGAGAAAGGGTGCTGTTTGCTGTTTCAAGAGCAGCTAAATTGCATAGCTGGAAACCCCCAATCAGTGCATGTTTAAAATCAGCATAAAGTTGATAAATTTAAGGAAAGTAATACAGGAAGAATGGACGAGAGACTGACACTGGTTTGTTCGCTTGCTTATGCTGGGTCCATAATGGAAAATTCTCCTGCGAAGGAGACTTTCTACTAGGAATTCCAATTTGTGCCGTGCAAAGCACCCTAGCTGGGAAGGCCGCTAGCCACCTGAGTGCCGTTAGGGCAGGGTAATGTTGGCTTAACTCTGCTTAACAAAGCAGGCTGTGTGGTGGGGTTTTTGGAGGGGGCAGGCCTATAGCCCATGTTGTCACTGGGAGCTGATCAGCAAACGCTGCCAGTACATTTTTGCCTGAAGCATAATTAAGAGCAACATCGGAGGGCAGACACTGGCTCTACCTCACCAGCTGCATTAATCCCCGAATTGCTCCCTAAAAGAATAGCTTCTCCCTGCCTTCTGTTTCAGGGCTCGTTACTGACATTTTCAGAAATCCCTCTCTGCAACTGTCGTGTTCGCTTTCAGCAGCTGGCCCAGAGCGAGACGGGGTGCTCTTTTCGCGGGGCCAGCAGCATGAGTGATTTCTCTTCCTAATAGGCGAGCCAGCCAGTCTCTTGAAACAGGATGTTAGCGCGCAGTTATGTGTGATCTTCCCCTTGTACTACAAATTGGCTGGGTGCGTTCACTTTGCTTAAAAGAGTTTTGCCTGCCCGACAAGATTTTTTTCCCCCCAAGCTGACAGGGATACTTTGGCCTTTGTTCCAGGCATGGTGGCTAGCACAGGCTTGGCAGCATGCTCGCCCTTCTCACTTGCCATTTGGAATTGCCCAGCTTGAATGCTTCCGCGTGGCATTTCTCAACTCACCTTCCACCCCTTTGTCTTGTCTTTGGAAATGCAGCATATAGATGTCTGAATTGGGTATGTGAGGTTTTCCTTTTCCTTGCAGCAAAGCTTAGGAACACCCATGTGAATTAGCTGAACCTACATACCCAGTTTAAGACCTTATTTATTTATTTAGGTATTTATTTTATTCAGTTTGGCACCACCTGGCTCCAAATTGGCTCTGGGTGGCTCATAATATATGGAGCAGAATAAAAAGCAGTATAAAATAAGAACCACATAATACTGAACAAGAAAGAAACTAGAAAAGAGAAGAACAAGAACACCAGAGCGTATGCAACCAATTTCCTGCAATGCTCT